AGTGGGCAGGAGTATTGGTACTACCTAGATCACTCAGCACCATGAGCCCCTACTGGTAATGCCAAGAGCCCCTGTGGGCTCCTCACAGTCTCAGAGCTCCCCTGATCTTTCCCCTGACTTGGGGTGGCACCACTCTGGGCTGAGAAGCACTGGACAAGAAACTGCCCAAGGTTTCTGGTGATTTCATGGTTGTGTGGCCTTAAGAAATGACACTCCAATCTATGAGCAGAGGCTGGAGGGGATGGATAGCATCTATGGGGCAGATTTCCCAACAAGAGCTTTACTTATTGCCCTAAACCCACGGCTATAGACCTGCTGATGGCCAGGACGCTGAGCTTGGGGCCATGGGTTTCTTATTTCTGTCCGTGTCCACTCCCTTGAGGATAACACTGAGGCTCGTGGTTCTAATTATCCCCATATGCGGAGTACTTCCCATACACGCTCCCACCAAGCCCTTCTTCCTGAGCACCACACACATGTCCAGCCCCACAGCACAAGGCACTTCCGAACCCTACCTCCACGATTCCTGAGCCTGCTCCTCCCCCAGCTGCCCTTCTCAGTCCTAAGTCACCACCTCTTCCTCACCCCAGTGATGCCCCTGGACCCTCCTGTCCCGCTCTACCATGGGCACAGACCCAACTCTTCTCTAAGGCCACCTCCTATCACCTTCTGCACGGGCAATGGCAACAGCATCCCAACAGGGAGATGGGGGACAAGTGCTCCGAAAGACACCTTGAGAATTCCGACCGATTTAACTTCTTCCTAAGTTTTGGTAATTAATCTGGAATTTTCAAACAACATGAAATAAGGTAGACAAAATTTACCCCTTTTCAGGGTAAAATTGTAAGACCAGGATAGGCCACCTCTGCCCTGTCACTCCCAAGGACCTGAGAATACTTAATTCATATAGTTTCCTGCTTTCATGTACATATTTCTTTTTAGCATAGTATTTCTGTACATTTTAAAAAGTAAACAAAACATCCTGAGTGATCCTCAGCTCAAGCCCTGGTCTTCCCATCTGTCCCCAATGTAACAAGGGTCGACTTCCAGTTCTGGAGACACCTCAGGTCCTGCCATGCCTGTGGGGTTCCCGTGACCTCCACTCACCTCTTTTCTGATTTTTGAGGTCAACAAAGTATTGGCATTGAGCACGCACCAGGCATTGTGCTGAGCACTCAGTCACTCAAGAAGTACTGAGTTTTGAGTACTGACAGGTGTCAAATAATACCCCTGGCTACAATACCACACTCTTGTGATGAAGAGGGGGAAAATAAATGAGCCACATGGTGTGCAGGTGGTGATGAGAACTGTGGAGAAAAATCAAGCAGGGAAGGGGTGGGACCTGGGTAGGTCACAGGGCTGTGCTCTGGGAAGAGGTCCAGGGAGGCCTTGCTGAGGCGGGTCCTTCTACACAGTGTTCAGTTACACAATGTTCACAGGCTATGGTGCTGCTTATCACCACAGATGACAAAGGCACAGAAGAGCTGCAGGTTATGGGAGTCAGCCAGGTCTAGGAGCCTCTAAAATTTATTTTTATGCTCCACACACACTGTTTTCACATCATCACAACTGGACACTGAATTCTACTGTGCAAACATGGGGAGAGACTGAGGAAGAAAATAGAAAAGAGATTGCGGCGGGGGGGGGGGAGACAGCAGAGGAGACAGCAGCGGAAAATAAAATGATTTTTAATTTACTCTCTTTAAATTATCTCATGATTCAGATCCCAAGAACTGAGGAGTCCAGCCTAACGGTACCTGTTTTCCTAGGAACTGGGTCAGTGTCCCACTCAGAGTTGATTTTTGAGACATCTGTTATGGTGTGTGTCTAGATTCCCCTCCCTTCCCTCCTCTAAGCCTTATGCAGTCATGAGGCAGGCTTCTAAACAGTTTGTGATTGATTCAAGATCCAATGCTGGGATTAACGGTGTGAGTGCTACACTTGCCCTAGGGCAGGTAGCCTGTGTACAATATAAGGGACAGAAAAGGCTTGCTCTCCCTGTTCTCTACTTGATTTTGGTATCTTCCACTATCATGAACTGTTGCCCCTCTTCAATGTGCCACACTGCTTTGGAGCTAGCCAATTATAGACTAAAACCTCTATAAACTGTGAACTAAATGACTTCTTCCCTGCTCTAATTTTGGATGTCAGGTATTTTGTTTCAGCAATGAGAGAAACACAATTAAGATAGCATCTTTCCAATCAGAAGGTTGGGGAGGGGCAATTGGCTTCCTATCAGCACTTCTGGGCACCCTCAGGCTGCAGCACAGGAAAGAGTACTGAATGGAAGCCAGCCAGGCACCCAGAGAACATCAAATCTCTGTTCCATGGTGTTCTTTACTCTCCAGTAGACGCCCTGAAGCAATCTCAGAGCATGCCTCAGCTCTTAAACTGATGTTCTGTAACATGGTTGTCCTAGAACTGACCTTCAAGGAGGTCACAGCTGCTCCATTCCATATACCAAGCTGACTTTGAATGGAATTTAATTTAGCCCAAATCTCCCATATGCAGAAGGCCTCCCGGCTGCTCCTCTAGCACACACAAAGCAGCACAGTGCAGAGGACGGACTGCAGTGAACCCACTGAGACGCTTCTGCCAGGGAAGGAATATGGGAACCCCTGCTTGGGCAGACTCTACCTCCAAGAACACTGGGAGAAGTAGGTTGATACTGGGGACATTGCAGGGAGCGGCAATGAAGGCAGCAGAGAGGCTAAGCCTACCTGCCCTCAACCCTAGAAAGAACCCTAATGTGTGATTCTCATTCAGCTCCATGGTGGAGCAGCAATGACAGCTTAGAGAGAAACCAGCTCTGAAGCCAGCGGTGACTGAAACAGCATAGGGGAGAAGTTCCCAGCAGTCCACTCAAGTTCCAGGTCAGGCTTTGCACTAAATCCAAGACTCCATGCCTGGGGAAGGTTAAACGCTTTTTCAAAGCCCAACTGATACCCTGGCCTTAGGCCAGTGGCTCTGGGTCACTGATGTCCCCTCTCTGTGACATAAAGACTAACATCTACTGCTACAGGTTAGGAAGACCCCATGAGCAGGTCCCTGAGGGTTGTTTGGCATAGGCCAGTTAGCCTGAGGTGGACAGCAGTGAGGACACACATCAGGATGGTCCTAAAGGTACAGGGACCTTCCCCAGAGACACATGGATGCACCCACCTTCAGTGGCCCACACAGTTCCAGGCCTGGGACCCCAAAAAGTCCTCAACCCAGACTAGCAGTGTCTTATTTCAACAGCGTATTTATAGAAGCTGACTTTAATCAGAAGCACAGCATAAGGGAGTGGTGGTGGCACATGTGCCACAGTGAGTTGTTCGCTATCACTGAAAGCTCTAAAAGGTTTGCCATCACTGACACAAGGTCTGCATAAAACTGCCTTAAAAAAGAAATGAGTGAATCACAGGAAACACTAAGTGAAGAAAATTTTCTGGAGTAGACTTAGGAAAATGACGAGATTCTTTGTTTTTCTTTCTTTCTTTTTGTTTTGATTTTAGGGAAGAGTCTATAGGGTGTTCAGGGTCTCACTACTAGATTGGACTCATAGTGATCCACCTGTTTACAGCCTCCCAAGAGCTGGGATAACAGGCGTGCACCACCATGCCCAGTCTCACTTGCTGTCTCAGCGCGCCCTGGGGGCAAGGCTGGCACAGCAGGCCCGGGGATTGAACCCTTGGCCCCTGAGCCTGCTTGCAGGCACTTTAATCTACTGAGCTATTTGGCCAGCTCACCAATGAGATTCTTAGTATCATGTATAATGTGTTTTTAAGTATGATCCGCTGTCATATATTCTATTAAATCATACACACCTTTCTCTGGTCCCAAGGACCATGAAGCATGTTTCCTAAAGATGAACTGCTATGGTGAGCAGAACTGGCCAGAAACCAAAGACAGCTGCAGAAAAGGGGAGTGAGATGGAGGGCCCCGTGGTAAGCAGCACCAGCACTGCTGAGGAAGCTCCCTCTCTCAGGAAGAGGAGGGAATCCTCTTTCATCCCACAAGGAAAATGAGCAGCATGCACCAGAGTGAACGTGCTGTCTTCTCCCTCCATGCTGCTTCTGCTGAGGCCCTGAAGCATGTGCCATGGAACAAAGACCCCGAGTGTTCTCTGGGTGCCTGCCGGGCTCTCCTCAGTCCAGCTTCCTAAACTCCAGCACTGAGGGGGACCGGAAGTGCTGATAGGAAGCCAACGGTCTCACCCGCAACCTTCCGACTGGAAGGATAGCTCAGAAAACAACTCTAAGAGTGGGAGACTGACCCACTTCCCAGGAAAACACATGCTCGTGGGACGGGCTCTTCAATTCTTGAGAATCTGAACCGCCCATTAAGGTTCTCACAGGGAGGCTCACAGTACAGGGTGATGACAAGAACCATTATCACCTTCCCAGTTAGTGGGGGCAAAACAGTAAAATGTCTGCAGATGTCTGAACTGAGCCTGGCAGATCCCAGGTGCCTTCCGCCTATCTGTCTCAATCTCTAAAGTACAATAAAGGACACAAGTGAGGGCCTTTCCACAGGTCAGTTAGCCTGAGATGCACAGCAGTGAGGACCCTGGGAGAGGAGTGCTCAGGGGTCCTCTCGTATCCTGTTTCTGCTCCACTTAGCACCACTGCTGCTGGATGGGTAATTTCCTGTTCACTCTCCGAACATTTCCAACTTACACAGTCCCAATAGCCAGCACTTCAGATTTCTTCTTTTCAAGGCTGAAAACAAAAACTTTTTATTTGGTGATGTGATCTTCAGAATAAGTGACCAGCAAACATGAGGCCAGTAGCATACCCTTCTTCTGGCCAGCACACCATGGTCTGCAGACCATGCTAGGGAACAATCCTCTGCTTCCTAGGGAGTCCCAATGCTCTGTGCCTTAGGATCTTTCCCAGTTAGGTGACACTATGAAGATCACCACACACAGTTTCCCACGGCAATGGAACATGTCTAGAAATACAGTAGAAGCAACTTTAGAGGCCTGTATGAATGTTAGTGTTTAGCTAGGTACTCACTGGTCATGTCGGGTATCAGGAATGGCTCTGTCCATGCGCAGCTTATCACTCTCCACTTGGTTGAACTTGTTGCGGGCATAGGGGTCCTGCCCAGAGCGAACCATCGTCCCCCCAACATAGGCTTCCTGGTTAAAGTCTGGCCACCGTACCTTCCCTAAAAAGAGCAGAGCAGACAGGTGGGACAAGGGAAAACAGGACAAAGAGACTCCTTCCAGAGACCACAGCAAGTGTCAATTTAAGAAACAGTGGCTGTGAGGGCCAATGAGATAGCTCAGCAGACTAAGCACCTTCTTAGGCAAGTGCAGGGACCAGGGTTCGATTCTTAGTACCATAGGCCCTGCCCCCTGTTGCACTGAGCCAGCCACCCAAGAAAGGGTATGGTGATGCACGCCTGTAATCCCAGCACTGGGGAGGGAAACAGAAGGATCACTACAAGTCCGAGCTATGTAGTGAGACCCTCTACCAAATACACTGAAAGAGAGAGAGAGAGAGAGAGAGAGAGAGAGAGAGAGAGAGAGAGAGAAAGGCAGGCAGGCAGGCAGGCTGGCTGTGGCTTTTTCCCTAAGATGGCGATTTCAATCCACAAACTATCTGACAGGAGCACCACCCAGCACTGTCATATCCTAAGAGGGGGATCCTAATATTTCCAGTCCACAAAAATCTAAGAGGTCTATCTAGAGAACCAAGTAGGACCAAAGCGTCCAAAAGTATGAATAGTATCTATGGGAGCTGTTGTAGCTTGTTCCTTGATGTCCCCCCAAAGGCCCACGCAGTCATGGAGAGCAGGCTCTTCAGAGGTGGCTGAATCTAGAGTTTGTGGCTGACTCATGGTCCAATGCTGGGACTAAGGGTGTAAGTGCTTCACCAGCCCTTGTCATTAGTCTGCATACAATATTAAGGGACAGAAAGAGGCTTGTCCCTTTCCTCTCTTGTTGCTTTTGCTGTCTGCTGCCACTGTGAACTGTCTGTACCTCTGCCATGTGCCACACTGCCTGGAGCCAGCCAATTACAGACACTACAAACTATGAGCTAAATAAACCTTTACCCCCTTAACTCTGAGTGCTGGCATTTTGTCTCAGGGAGAGGAAAGTTACTAGACAGCAGTATTAATACTTCTCCAATAGGAGACCATCCCCGCTTATCCCACTTTCATGAATTCCAGTTAATGCCTAAAAGCATTTCAGGTAAGTGAAAAAGATAATGTATAAATTAACTATGAGGTATCCCATTATGCAACACCAGTTAACACGTAAGCAAAGTTTACACTGCTGAGGCTAAGAACACAGAGATACAGTGTGGACATACTCAAGAGGTGGCAGGCTTAGACAGGCTAGCCTCTGAAGCCTGAGGGCCCTCTGAGAGCTGGCCAGCTGCTCTGAGTCCTCTCCCTGGGTCCCCGGTCACCCAAAGAGACCACTGCAGGTACAGGAAAGAGATCAGTTGGGATACCACCCCACCTAGATGAACCTTGCCCAGGGCTGCTGACTGTTCTCTGGGCCTGTTCCCCTCTGAGTCATTTACCTTTCCTCCAGTTTGCTCATGTGCCCCACTCCCCTCTCCCCTGTGAAAAGGGCACATGAGTTCCTAAATCTCACTAGGTTCCTGGTATCGCTCTTTATCTTTGGATGCCCCATGCACAGAATGCCACTGTACTGCTTCCCATGTACTTCCATCTTTCATTCGTTTGTTTCAGCAGACTCAACTCTTGAATATTAAAAGTTTCTCCTGCTCCTGTAACAAAATATTAACTCCCTCAAAGAACAGGATAGCAAAGCTGCCCTCAGTAAGACCTCTACAGGGTTATATGCAGCTGTTAACAAGCCTGACCCCACAGAGCACCCCCAGATGATGTGCTCTTAGAGACCTTCCAGGAGTCATAGCTAGAACCCAGCCATTTCTCATACACAAGTCTTTTCCTGGGGAGGATCCCAAAATGGCTTGCCTGTCCACTGACTATTAGAAGGCTGATCAGCTGATAAGGCCAAGCTCAAGGTTCTCTGGAACACAACACTAGGCTGGGGCTCTTTGCAAGACTGGGGGAGTAGGGGCAGTGTTGGTTAGTGGCAGATAGGCACTCAGGAAGAAGAGCACTACTACATGGATAAATCTGGGCCAGCCCATGTGCAACCAAACAGAAGCAATTAGGCAGAGCAGAGAGACAGACAGGGCAAGATGCTCAAGGAAAAGGTGAGAGGTAGGAGAAAATCCATGACCCAGTGTCCCACCCCCACATCCACCACCGTTTACTGCTATGTGCTACCTACAGTACCTTCCACTCCTCCCAAGTCAATCCATCAATCAAAAGACAGTGTCTCGTGAGGTTTCTCTTTTTCTTTTTGAGACAGGGTCTCACTGTGCAGTTCAAGTAGGGCTTGATCTCACTACGTAGCCCAGCCTGGCCTCAAACTTGGGGCAATCCTCCTAACTCAGCTTCCCACATGCTGGGATCATAGGCGTGTGCCACTATGGCTGGCTCCATGAGGTCTTAATGGTCTATTATGTTCTAGTTCTGTGGATAACATAAACTCCAAAGGAGGTGGGGGGCAAACAACCTTGCCCAAATGGTGCTCACAGTTTCAAGTGGTTGTGGGGGTGACAGAGAAACACAGGCTAGTTGTAAGCTGGTCTGCTGTGTACAAGGCCCTGGGTTTGATCCCCAGCACCTCCACAAAGGAAAAAAACACCAGGCTGCCAAGGGGCAGGCAGTCCAAGGCTGCTCTGTGTAAGGTCTGTATGTCTCTCTCAGGACACCGTACAAACACCTGAACAAAGGAGGGCACAACCAAGCTGCTCTCTGGGATGCACACAGGGCCCTGTGTGTGCATAAGATTCCGGAGCTGGGCACGGCCTGGCCTCTCAAACCAGCCAGGTGCCAATGTGACATAAGCAAGTGTGCAGAGGCAGTGGCTCGGGACAGCCCAGACACCAGTAGGTGCTACAAGAGAGCCTTTCCTGGCTGAGTCCTCCACACATGCTCGTTCTCTGCCGGAGAGGAGGAAGCTGAGGTTCAGCCACCTGTCATTTATCCAAGGCCAAAGAATTAAGTCTCTATCTCAAAGCTCATCGGCTTCTTGTAGCAATTGTCTGGGGATGTCAACCTGCTGCTGCTGCTGTGAAATGACACTGGGGTAGAGTCCCAGCCTCTTAAGTAGGAGGTCAGGGCCCTGGGGAGATGGCTCAATGGAATAAGCGCTTCCCTGGCAAGTGCAAAGGCCTGAGTTCAATCCCCAGTTCCACCAAAAAAAAAAAAAAAAAGTAGGAGGTCAGCTCCAAACCCACAAGCCTGGCTATGGGACGGGACTGCAGTTCAGGTAAATGCCTGCCACAGGAGCGGGCCAACACCAGCTGTTTCCTTTACCTTCAAGAAAATGCTTCTGCAACATATTTTGGAAGCCTGATTTCCAGGAAAAGACAACCATAAAAACACTTAACGATCCTCCATTCTCTTCCTTTATGCTCCCGTGTTTTCAGAGATGAGAAGAAAGTATCACAGTGCTGTGGAGTGCTCGGCCCCAACTCCACCCATGCCACACTGACTCTGACAGAAACCACACGCAGCCTTGGATGCCTTCCCAGTTCCGTATCAATAGCCCAACAGGATGATTCTGGAGAGCTGACTTTCTCAGTAGGCCATATCTGTTCCTGCACTAAGGAGCTGGAGTCAGACAGAAGCAAGGCACACCCAGGAGGTCTCGTCCCATCTTTCTGCCTGTGCCCTGCCAATTCCATGTCTGGCATGTGCGGAGTCAAGTCCAGGAAACTCGGCCAGGGAGGGTCTGCATCCAAGGTGAGCAGTAGACACAGGACAAGACAAGGTGTCTGTTGGCCTCTCAGAGCCCTGAGCCTTTTCTGCCCATGCATGTCCTGCACCTACAGACCCCTCATCCTCTAGAGTAAGACCATTATGGCAGAACCTCTGACACCATGCAGTCAGGTGCTGAGCTGCCACCACTGACAGTAGACGGTGACCATATGCTGGTGTCACACAAGATCCTGCAGGCCTGACAGGGCAAATGCAGGTCCAACGCCCACCCTTGGAGAGTCACATTCTGAGGGTGAGGTGGGGAGATGGCTGTAATAAGTGTATCACTAAGAACAGCTCAGTTCCCTGAGGGTGAGCAGTGGAGTTCACGGATGGCTCCATCACAACCTTACTGTATTAAGATTTTGTCACTGCAACCAAATACCTGAGAAAGTCAACTCAGAGACAAAAGGGTTTATTTGGCTCAAGTTTTCAGAGGCTTCAGCTGATAAGCAGCCCTGGTCCACTGCTCCAGGCCTGTGATGAGGCAGACATCACAACAGAGGGTGCAGAGGGGAAGAGCCGCTCACCCACCTCGTGGCATCCAGGAAGCAGGGAATAGGGGGCTGGATACAAGATGCACTCACCACGGTCACACCCCCATCACCTACTCCTTTTAACCAGGTCCCATCTGTTAAGTTTCTATCACCTCCAAGTAATGTCACAAACCTACGACCTCATCAATGAACTAATCCACTTACGAAATTGAGAGCAGGGAACTGTGACATCAGACACAGACTGTAATTGGTATTTTTTTCATAAAAGCCTACTAGTAACTCAGTGTGGTGGGACATGCCTATAATCCCAGCACTCAGGAAACTGAGATGGCAAATCACTGCAAGTTCAAGACCAGTCTGGGCTACATAAGAACTATATGCTGAGACGCTATATCAAACCACCAGAAAAAAAAAAAAAAGCCTAATGATATGGTACAGGACCAGCTAATATGTTTAACCATGACACACCTTGTACGTCATGAACTGGGGTCACAACGCAAACACACACAATGACCCAGTAGCCTCCCAATAGATCAGTGGCCCTCACCAGATGGACAAAATGAACACAGTCTATTTTTTATGTGAATGTAACCTAAAATCGGTTTCACAATCTAATGACAGGTCACAATCTATAATCTGAAAAATAGTGGGCTAAAGAACTATCTCAAAGATTGGTTATTTCAGTGTTGTACAAAATTGTGGGGTTGGAGCCTCCGGGTGGCAGAGGTGCCAGGAGCACAAACAGCTGGGTTTGAAGAACAGGGTGTGTGTCCCAGCAGCAAGCAGCACGCTCACAAGAGGCAGCCAGATGTGCATGGAATTGCAGGCATAAACAACATGCGTTAGAGGATGGAA